CTTTTAAGACTGATAACGACAAAAACTATTTATTTACACTAATTATTAAAGAACTTAAAAACACTATTGAATTATTACTAAATATAGGTTATGAATTATTCTATTTATTTACACTACTGTTGATATATCACTATTCACTGCGCTATTTATTTCATTGCTATCACTGTCAATTTATTTCTGGATTCACTTCTGCAACGGTCAATTTATTTTTACCTCCTCTCGGCGATCGTCTCTTCCTTTAAATACTCTTTTGGTTACTTTCGGGAACCTTCTGGAAACATCCGGATAGTTTATTTTTTTTTTGAACTGTTTAACTGCTTTCCCAGAACGCAGGTACGACACACACATTTACAAATACGGTGCACATGAAGAAAGGCTCCCGGGGCTAGTCGGCGAATCGATAAGCCGTTTGCGCACATGTGTGCCCGATCGCACACAAACACACTTGTGCTCGCTAAAATACGTATACTACAATTAGATTGTTACTATTTTTTTTTTTTAACCTTGCGTTTTCAAATTTTTAGTCTTCGTTTTCTTCTTGTTGCAGGGCAGTTGTAGAGGTTCTTCTTCGCGCAGGGGTTGATGTCAACGTTCGGACGCCTTCTGGTACAGCTCTCCACGAAGCTGCACTTTGTGGAAAGGTGGAGGTGGTACGAACGCTTCTTGACCATGGAGCGGATCTTTCTATACGAGATTCTCATAATTTGACGGTGCTTGATCTACTTGGTCAGTTTCCAACTCACGTCGTTCAGGACATCATGGGTGTCATCAAACGTATGTTATTTTCATTTCTTTGCATAACTGTTTTGATTCAAAGAATGCTAACAAAAACAAACGGAAAAGTTTATGAAATGATTAGTCTAATGCCTTGATACCCTAATAACTGTCAAAAATCAAGTTAATTTAATATCCTTCGGATTTAAAAGTGATTCAAAATCTTTATGCTGGGGTCGGATTCGGCAAAAGATACCTTGGAAATAACTACTCTCATAGTGTTTTTTAATTCTTTTACTTCATATAATAGTGCTGTCAGACAAGGTCCAACGTTGGGTATATTCTGTTGAAATCTTATTGTTAATAAAATATGTTTCACAAAAAGTTCACCAATCGAAATTTGCATTTGTGCTGTTGGCTTTCGGGGTTATTGGCCCTGATCTAAAGATTTTTCTTTCGCCGACACGAACGGTTAGAATTTTTAAGAGATCTGCCTGACCTTTGTTTAAGTGCAGACTGCCGAAAGGTACTCTGGAGCGCATATTTATATTTGTATTTGTAGGTCTCTGGTAAATTGATTTCACGATTGGTTGGTTTTGGGGTTCTTTAGTTTTTAGCGCCAGAATCCAAGCACGATTAATTCTTAGTGATTCTTTTCGGCTAAAGTTGTTATTTTTTGTGTGTTCATTACATCCCCATATAGTCTGAAGTAGTATGATAATTTGGTGAATAAAACGTCAATGTCTTCGATTTTAATTCTGTTGTCTGTGCGGCTTAAAAAGTGTATCCTACCACTGCGGATATGTTTGTGGGCCCTAGACGACAATTGACGCCTTCTGTTGATGAATAATTTTGTAGTTCCTATGTAAACTTTTCCAAAAGTCTAAGGAATCCGGTATAACTACGCCTGCTACCGCTAGACGATCTCTTTTATCTTTGGCTGGTTGAAAAAGTTCCCCATTTTTTTAGTCTGTTTGAAAACACTGTTGATTTTTCACTATACGTCCGATTTTGGCTATTACTCTGGGGATGTCCGCCAGAACGAGTCTGTGTGTGCATTTGTTAATTATTACAGTGGTTCTTTTCATTGCAAGTAGTAGTTAATAGTTTGAATTTAACTTAAAACAAAATCGGTGAGACACAAGATTTTCTCAGTGTTTATACTTCTTGAGTACTATTGATAATGCTAGGGTAAGTACTAAATAGTTGTTATCCTCGTCAAGGACATGGAAAAGGTTTATCACAGGACAGCGATGCTGAAAGCATCAACCAGCCATTTCCAATCGTTTCGAATACCAATTCGGAAATTGGTAGTCCTTACGAGAACGTAAGACCTATGTCAAGGGGTCGTTCTCTTACCACCGATCCTTCACCAGGTACTTCCCCGCATCGATGGGACTTTTATCGACAAGCAAGATCCGTCGATTTAGTCGAAGATAGAAGAACTTCGGGGACATCTGCGATGTCTTTGTAAGTACTTATTTGTTGTATTTTTCTTTGTTGTCGCGTATATTTTATTTATTTAAGAAGTTGAAATTATTGGATAAGTTTACAGGATGAGTATTAAAAATCTATTTATTACCGAAGCGTTAACATGACCTTTGTTGGAAATTATAACGTAAATTGTTAATTTATCATAAAGGGCATAGAAATTATTCTATTTTGTGTTGAAAACTTTACCTATTAATCCTATGTTCAGTTAACTTTATTAATAACAGATAGTTTTAAACCGTAATGCTATTTTTATTTTATATGAAACATCAGCCGCGAGAATTTTATTGTCAAGTGCATAACATTTATATCAGAAACAAAATAATAATTAGTAGGTCTTTATTAAATAAATAATAATTGAAAACAATTTTTAATAAATGTGGCTATACGTAGTTTATTCTGGGATGTACATAATTCTAATAATATTTTTTGTAAATATTTTAATAATTAGTTGATAGTAAGGGTAATTAAAATAAAATTAATAAGAAATCACTTTCTCATGGATCCCTTATAGGTATTAAAGTTAAACTTTATTAATATTTATTTGGGCTAAACTGTGCTTTATATTAAAAAATTAGTGCTACTTTAGTATGCGGTAACCTTATCTCAACCTAACTGAACTTTAAGCGAAGGTTACGGTAGGAAATGACAACACAAACGAAATATATTGTTCTTATTTACGTTCAGGTAGATCGTATATTAAAGTACCACTAACTAAATCAGTGTTTTTTGAGAAATTATTTTTTTCGGAATTTCCTTATTTCTGTAGAATCTTAGAAATTTCAGTCACTCACTATATCGCTTGTAGAAGCACTGTTGTAAATTAAATTAGATAGTTCTGTTGGTTCATGTTGAATTAAAAAGCTTCACTTTCGTTTAATTAACTATATAATTGTACAGCTAATTGAAAAATAACAAGGGTATTTTTTCTTAATATACGCTATCTCAAACGAAGGTTGATAATAGTGTATCTATGTTTAGTGTTTGGTTACAAAAATTAATGTATTCTATGAAAATGTGTTGCACCTAGAACGGTCCAAAATACAGTCAATGATAGAAAACCATTAGTTAATCGAACTCTAATAATGAAATACTTAGCAATTTATTCACATAATGAGTATTTCCTAAATTTTCTCTTTATTGTAAATCTATCTGGCATTTATTTTATCAATTTGAGAATGAAAATTCCCTTTATTGATGGTTCCAGCTTCAGCGTTATCGTCTTAACATTCAAACAATTTTATAGTTTACGAATGCAGACTATTGTTATTATTTAGCTGTATTTTTGTTAGCTTGTATAATTACCAGCACCTTACTTAAATCTTTTCACGGAGGTGTATCCCTAATACTATGCAATAGTATTTTTGAGAAAGGGCATACTTATGTATATTCCACAATTGGCAAACAATTTCATTTATTGAATTATAAAAGGGTGAATCCCAGAAACACCACTTTTAGTACAATAAATGAAGGTAAAAATCAACGATTACCTCCGATTTCGGTGAACCTCCATCGATTTGCATGAAAATTTGGGATCGAGTATATTTTATCCTCAACTTCAAAAGTGACATATGCTCGACTTGCGCTTTTTGCATTTTAGGGGTGAAATCCACCCCTTTTGTTAAAAATGGGGGAAAATGCAGATTTAAGCATTCTGGAGTAAGTAATCTCGTTTAATTAGATAAAATAAATATTTTTCAACACTTATATGCATGATTTATGATTTTAATTAATTTTTCAACCCTTTTAGCAACCACCCCTTAAATCGAAAATCATGAAAAAATCATTTTTTCATCATTTTACAAATTTAATCGTTTAAAATCGTTCTCGCAGTAAAATGTAAGGTTTAAACGTTTCTATCTCGGTTATTTATCCTACAAAAATAAAAAAGAAACTAAAACCTTAAAAAACAAACTCAAATTTCGTTGTCTATTATTTTTTACGTATATCGAGTATTTTTGGAGTTATTATCAAATGAAAATGAAATTTACGAAAATGTGATAAATTCTGATTTTTGTAGATCATATTGTTTTTTCAAAAATATGCATTCTAAACCGGTCAAAATTTTTAAAACCATTACTTATACTAGAATAAAGAATGTCTTATAGGGATTACTGTAAATTTTAATTTTTGTGGAAATGGCGTAGGTTTTGTTTTTCACATTTTTCTAAAAAATTCGAAAGGGTCCTCTTATTTTCATCATAACCTGCTTAATTTTGACGTTATCAACTTCTTCTGCAGCTTATTTGATAGGTATTTCTGAGTACTTTGAAAAATGTTTAGTAAGTATAATTTATAAAATGCATCGTTTTTCCGTTATTTAAGCTTGAATACTTAGATTTGAGTACTCGCCGGAAAAAAAGTATACATTCAATTACCTATAGCTCACTTTGAATTAATATTAAAAGGTTTTTTAAGGAAGGAATTTATTCGTTTTTTTATTAGCTTCAATTTTGGTAATGACAACTTTTTTGTAAAACCTTATAGTTTTTGAGTTATTTATGAAAAACCGCTTTAAAACATGCATTTTTTTCACGAAAAATCAAAATATTTGATCTTTAATAACTCAAAAAGTATTGATTTATTTTAATAACTCTCTATAACTAATTTTGCTTACAATTGGTCCGTCTATCGATTTCTGGGGTTATTTTTCATAAAATAATTTCCACCCCCAGGGTAAAAGCGCAAGTTGGCACTGTCACTTTTGTTTTTTGAGGTATCCTGTAACTACTCACCAGTTTTCATGAAAATCGATGGAGGTTCAACGAAATCAGAAGTGAAAATCCTTCAGTGACTGTACTATTTACCTAAAAATAGACTTGCAAGCGTTCACCGCTTATGTACGCTGCAAAAAAGCAACACAACTGATGTCCAAACACCAGACAAATTTGGCTTTATATTGCATGGCTTAGTGTTGCGATGCATGTTACAGGAGAAACACAAGGCTGTATAAAAGTTTGCCGACAAGTAGACGTTTGAAGATTTGTTACGTTTCCAAGTTGCATGATATTCCGCAGTCGCCATCACCTATGGATAACATAACTTTTAGCTTCAGCGAACAAGTATCTTTGAGAAAAGCTAGCGAATCTTCCGCGTCATCTTACAGAACGGCTTCTGATTGTTCCAGAGGCTCCGATAGCAGTTTTTTCTATACTCCACCGGCACCAAAACAGTTCATGGACAGTAGCACGTACTCGGAAGAACTAAATTTTTCGTCCAACAGCAAAGACATTGATCAAATAAGCTTGTCGTCAACCACGTCTAGTACCAGTTGTCCCAGACGACCTGATAGTGGTTGTACCCCCCACTACGTACCAATGAATATGAATAATTTGAAAGGAGGTGGAAGAAGTCCCTGCGGCTATAATAGTAAAGTTTCGGTTGGTACACCTTTAAAATCCCCCTTCACGCTCCATAATCTAAAAATGTCGTTTCAGCCTGTTCCACCTAAAAAACCACCCAGAAGAAACCTCTCAGTATCACCAACCCATCTGCATCCCATGTCCGCATCGATTGACGGTGTCAGCAACAACGCTTATGAATATTTATTTTTGGCCCACAGCGGCACTCGATCTCAAAACGATTTAAATGAAGTAGAGCAGGAAAACAAAAGAGAACGATTGCTTCATGGACGCTCTGTTGATCAGTATGTCGAAATGAATCGCGTTTTCGATATTAGTTTGGACGAAGACGAACCTAGGCCGCATAAGGAGTTGCACAGAGGGAAAAGCGAGGATCTTGATACTCGAAAAAGTACAAAAGGCGAACCAGTGGCTATTACATCAGTTTGCGGTAATATGGTGGTGAAGAAGCAGAACCCTCGTCGGAAACTGAGGAGAAATCAAGAAGTGTATGAAGATTTCGATTTTCGAAAAGATGATATTGCTCAAACAAGTTCCTCGGCGCCCGGTTCTACATTCGTTTCTAGTGCATTTATTATGATTAAGGATGACTATTCGGATAGTAACAAAGAAAATTGTGTTGACAGAAATACTATAAAGAAAGCCGCGAGTTCTGCGAATATTCCACTAAGTCCTACGCATTACCAACAACCTCCAACGCCGGATCATCCCCCGCCGTCTGCCTTACAAGCAGAAAATTTTATACACGAAAAAATTAGGCCGCTCAGTCAGGTAAGCCTTTAGATTCAGGTATTAGGAAATATTTTTGTTGAAAGTATTATGTACCCGCCCATCGATGTGTATTTTGTTGATTCGTTTATATTTTATGTACAAATGTTAATTTTTAATAAAGCTTTAATTGTGACCCGAGTCGCTTTTTTTTTTTTTAATTTGTGCCAGTTGTTTTACCCCTCGCTCGTTTTGTTTATACAGTCCAGGGTAAAGAGGGCGTTGTGACGTCAGCATGAAGTGAATTTCACGCGGCTTCTTTATTTTCGTTTGCATGATATTTAGCACGGTTTTAGTGCACTTGCATTTCCCTCCTTCACATAGAATTGCATCGTGAAATCTGCCTCAAAAAGATCCCTGTTAGACATTCTTCGGTTCAGGAATACAAACGAAAATCGAAGGACATGGAAACGGAAACGGAAGACGAATATATACTCGTTTGTGAAGAATCGAGTGGCAGTTTTTCAAGTAGCATTTCCTTGTCTGATAAAAGCAGTGACAATGTTATAGAAGATTACCATCCAGATGCTCCTTTCACAGGTAACCCCTTAAGGAGTTCGGAAAATGGAAATGCTAACGAATGACTTTACAGGTCTGTGCAAAGGTTCGAAACAGTCGGAAAATTCCAACAGACACCCTGAGAGGCCAAAAACATTAAAACGGTTAAGAAATGTTTACGATTCCAGTGATGACAGTTCAAAAAGTGAAAATACAAAACCAAAGCCCAGTGAAAAGGATTGCGATGAAAAAGATTTGCGTATGTCCTGTTTGAGTCCGTTTGACGAACAAGAGGAATGGGCTAAAATTCAAGAAATAATGGCCTCATTTGGAACGGGAGTTGTGAGGGAATCGGTATTTGTAGCCGAATTAGAAAAAGAATTCCAAAACAGATTAATGAGTTTAAGTGTATCGCAAAATAGCGTCAATCCCGCTTGCGCAAGATCAGTTGACGAATGGTTGAAGAGCCTGGACATGAATAATTACGTCAAGCTTTTCATCGAAAAGGGATTCGACGAAATCGACTTTTTGGTAAGTGTATGCTCAGAAATTAAAAACAATGCTGATTAAAACTTCTCGTTCCTCAAAAAAGAATGGAATATTAAGCGAAAGTGATTTAATCGAAATGGGTATCACAAGTGAATTAGACAGACAATTAATACTGGACTCGTGTAAAGATCTACCTCTAAAGGTTTATGAAAAGTGCCCTAGCAACAACAACAACGCCGAAGAAACAGTAGACCAATGGCTAAAAAGAATATATTTGGAACAGTACTCGGAAACATTCGCCAAGCACTTGTACCACGACATGGAGAGGATCAAAAGGATATGGGACGTCGAACTGTCGGCTGTTCTAGATATTGAAAAAATTGGACATCGTAAAAGAATACTTGCGAGTGTTAGTAGTGGAGATCACATTGCTCAAGGACCAACATTAGAAGACTTCACTGCCGAAGTAAATACTCTGGTAAGTGCAATAATAATCTGTACATCATAGGCATATAGCAAAATATTGCATTTTATAAAATGCCGAGGCAAATTATAAAAAGTACAACCTAGTAACGAAATTTTCATCGTACGCCTAGGCATTTAACAAAATACGTACGGGTTCTTCGGCTTATTGTAACGTTATACCTCCTTACATAATCTAGCGTATTATAAAGTGGCCGCAAATTTGGATAAGAAACTAACATAATCTAAATCAGTTCTAACCTAAACCAACGCAATCTAGAGTAGTAAATAACGAAGTGAGTGATTTTGTCTGGGACTCCAAAAAAAATACAACGTGTAATTATACAACACGCTACTGAAGTGAAACTTCTTCAAACATACCGGGATAGGGGTTAAGGAGTTGGTTTAATGGTATTATTTGTACACTATGCTTTGCACGGGTGCAATGCTGATAATAAATATACTATAGAATGTCTTTATATACAACAATCACAGCTTTTTTGTCAATAGACAATACAAACCGGCCGGTACCGCCGCAACCGCTATGTCCCTGCATTTTAAGTCTGTAATATCTTCGAAAATATTCATTTAAATTAGATGCTGTAAAGGACCATATTGATCTATATTAAATGCACAATGTATTTAAAAGTACTGAATTGGATAAGGATTAATGCTGTATTGCTTAAAATCGCTTCGTAAATAAGTCATTATTTCTGGTAAAAAGTAAAGGATAAAAAATGGTTATTGTGGGTTATCGCTAAGAGATAGACATATACCATCCAGGACTTTTTGGTAGACCTTTTTAAGGTGTACAATACTGTGGTACATTATTTTGATCTATCTCGTAAAGTTCAGCCAGCGTTTGCAATGTAAGCGTAAAAAATGTGTTTATCACGACATCACATTACAAACCTCTAAAATTATCAGTGTTTTCCTACTGTATTATGCATGTATTATACATATAAACCTTCCTCTTGAATTACTATACCTATTAAAAAAAACCGCATTAAAATCCGTTGCGTAATTTTAAGGATCTAAGCATACATAGGGACAGACAGCAGGTGAAATGCGTTGCATGATTTCGTTACATAGCAGCTCGCATGAAACGAACTTACCCTACCGTGCTTAAAGAAGTTTCACTTCAAAAAAAAAAAGATTTACTCTGAAAGATTTTTTACCATACGTGAGATTACATTAGGTTGGTGTTAGGTTAGGTTAGTTGTTCCGGCGGTTTCTGACACAGGTTACATTTTAGAAACGAAACAATCAATACAAACACGAAGCGAAATCGCCTTCATCACACTCAGCCAAAACTGGAAATGGTACGGGTACCCTTAGGCATCGACCAAAAAAGTCCCGCCCTGCACCTCCTCCTCCAATAAATGTTCCCAAAAAAGACGATAATGATAAAAATGCCACCGCTGAATTGTTCGTTGGCGGAAATAATTCAATAAAAGCTCAGTGGAGGCATCAACCCATTCTTCTCATAACAGGATGCGTTCGATATACGGCCAATGTAAGCACCCTATCGTTAGTACAGGGTGTTTTATTTAGCACTGCATTAACTGTTGGCGAAAAATCATAAAATTCTGATTTTTTGTTATTATCAGCTTGAAAATTCCATTAAGAATTTAAACCAAGAAGGTGGATAAAAGGTGTTTGTCAAAAAGCGACATCGATGTTTCGCCCATTAGTAGTAAGGCTGTCAGCGATAGATATACTTCGTTTACTTTCTGTAGCGATGTGACCTTCAGTTTGACCGGCGCAAAGTAGAAAAGAACAGCACTAGGCCAGAAAAAGAAAGAGACAACTCTCAGTCAAACTCTTAACCGGCGAGGAGCGTATAATCCGTACAGTACTGCACGGAAAAATTGACCATTTTATCCACTACAATTGCATTGCTCAAATGTGCTGTTATTGGTAACATTTACTACTGAAAATATCAACGAGATGTTTATTTATATTTGAAGACATATTAAAGGCTTTAACGGTTGTTTTCGACTCGCACTACTGTTCATGATTGAACAAAACTTTTGGCAGGTACTGTATGAAGAAGTGTTTAATGAACAAGAGTCGAGAGTATAATGAACTTTTTTCTCTCTACCTATGATTTTGCCAGCGCGCATCCAAGACATTGGAAGGGGCACTTCGCTAGAGAAAGTAAACTTTAACAGAGTGTCCACTTTATAGAAAGACAGACACAAATAATAAAAAGTCCAGTTTTAGGGTGTAGCACTGAATAACTCTGAAAATTAGTAGTACCTATTTAATAGTTTATATTTATAGCATTTATTAGACAAAAATTTCACAAAACCATTATAAACTCAAAATACAACTAAAGCAGACTCGTTTTTGTTCATTTTGAACTTGAAAATATTCTATTTTGTAAGAATGCAAGTTATGCTGTTAGTTACCCACAGTTTCTTATAAAAGAAACTTTAGCTTATAACATCTCGCCAACTTAAGTCCGAAAGTATTCTTTCACGATTCATCGCTAATTTTTGAACTTTCTTTTATTAATATTAATGACAAATATGATATAGCTATATTAGCATACAACATAGAGGAGTTAGAGATAGTTATGAACAAAATGGAACCGATTTTGGCAGAAGGGTATGGAATAGTAAAGTTAGAGCTAGTTGTTGTTGTAAACGTAAAACAAAGAATAGCTCAGGGTCTATCTGTCTTTAACAAAAGGTATATCATTTCTACGCTCACGAACGGCTAGTTCGGAAATTTGACAAACGTTGATAGTGGGCGCGGCGGAAAGTTAGAAAAGTTTGAGATTCAATTCAGGGCACGTCGCCATCATTCTGATGGATCCAGGTGTGCTTTTGGGACGAAACACACCAGGTCGTCAAAACAACTGTTCTTCTCTTCTTGAAGTACCTCATCCATTCGTTAACCTTTGTAATGGTTATACCGTGTTTCAAAAAGGTTAGAAATGAGGAGGTTTTAGAAACAGCAGGAGAATCGCTATTTAAGTCAATAAGGAAGAGGAGAGATAGGATGGTTACACATCGCACTTTTTGAAGAAACATGAAGGACTAGTAGTACACAGAAACATAGGATGATCTAAATTAGATTACATTTCGTAAATAGTTTGAGATGTGGGATATTCTGGTCTCTAGGGAATTGGAAGATTCTCAGAATAGGAAACAGTGAAGCTGTATGTCCAACCAAAAAGAAATGTGTACTAACTTAAATTGTAATGTATCTCCTTCAAAACAGCTTTCTTATTGATGCGATATTTTTTAGTATCAATTGACGAATCACGGGTTACAAATCAGTCAGTTCAGTTGTAGAGTAGTGTCTCTTCTTTGAGCTCGGAATGAGTCAGATCGGCCCAATGACTACAGAAATACTAACAAAGTCATTAACAGCTGGATATGAACAAATTTTATATTATTTTGTCATTATGGGTTTACGTAATCTGAATATTATCTATGAGAAAGAGCGTCTAGATTCTTTCTTCACTCTGGAATAAAAATTTTGGTAAAGAAAAATGACACTTATAGTCTAGGAATAATTAGAAATCTTTTGGCAAACATGGTTATTATTTGACATACAACTTCAGATCGTTTTTAGTGCTAAGTAAAACACCCTTTAAAAATTACCGTTCTTTTTCTTCCTGTGTTACTTGAATCAGAATTTGTTTAGTATCTTGCTTCATTGACCATCAAAGACTTTCATGGAATAGAGTCGACTAAACGATCGATTCATAAAGTAAGAAAGTCGGCCGACAAAAGAGTAGAGCAGGATGTAACTTTGTATATTTCCTACTCAGGAGTAAAATTTAAAGACTCTTTAAACCATGTAAGTATTATTTGGTATTAATATCCGACCTTCTTACAAGTAAGACATTTAAGGACACTATATGTTCACACGAAATCAAAAATATTCACTATGCCTGCCAAGATTCCGAAAGCCTTTCTTACTTCGCTTACATTACCGTGGATGACAACAACTATTACTGCCATGTCTTTTCTGCTGATACTGGGGTGAGTACAATTTCTGCTTCATACCTAAGGGTTCATCTATAAATTACGTCACACATTAAGGATGACGGAGGTGGTCAAAGTGCGACACTGTGTGACATAAGTTTCGAGACGTTACAGGTATAAATCTAACGTATTAAAAACTTTAACATTTTAGAGTCTTATAGAAAAGTACACAGTGGGAGATTGATGTTTGCATACTTCCTTAATGGGAGTACTGATAAAAGTTATTTACGGCGTTAGAGGTTTACTATTAGGCCACTTTCACACAGTGCGATAACGACACGATTGTCGTATCGTATCGTATCGGAACGCCGCTTTCACATTATGCGACTAAATATTATTTTGACAACGTTCCAAGTTGAAATACAGGTCTACCTATCCTCGCAGTGTTGTCTAGTTTCGTTGTATGTATCTAATGAATGTTTTTTCTTTGAGAAAGACATGTTAATGGCTGTAAGTCGCGGTTAGCACTGGTAGCATATCATACACGCGTGGCAAAAATGAGTTTTGGCAACCATGGATGTAAAACCGTACATTTGGTTACATTGAATATACGTATCGTGCAGTATTTTTATCGCATGTGTTGTTAATACAAATCGGAATGTATTTGCGACATTTTCTACTGCAACGATTTTAATATCGGATCGGAACATTGTATAAGCGTTTGCTTTAAAAAAAATTATTTTGGATATACTTTTGTGTCGTTGCGCATGCAGTAAATCGTGTCGTTATCGCACTGTGTGAAAGTGTCCTTAGGCTTTCATCGGAAACATCTGACGATAAACGACTCGCCATGTTCGTTTTGTGCGCATCGCCTACGCTGTACCTTTCTCTAAATGAACGGACATACGAATCTGTTAATATTAGTGTTTAAAGTTTGTATCGCTTTTTGGTACGCGGTAGCCGCGCGAATTCTCTCTTGCTGTACCTACTGTGCCTTGTAACATACGCTGAAAGTTCAGCACCTACCGCCTTTAAGGTATTGACAAAATTCACCGCTGCTGAGATTTTACAAGTGCTGCATTAACAATATTTAAATTTAAAATTGTTAAGTACGTGATGTCACATGTGGCCATCTGTAACAAGAACTGAGGACTCCAAAAATCATGTCGTAATTTATGAATGTCCCCTAATTAAGATCTCTTTCGACAATTCACTTAATTTTCTCATCTAACGTTCGCTGTTAATTTGGTTAATAAATAAAAATGTGTTTAAGAAATGAGATACAAAGAATTTTGTTAATCCTTTTAAGATGTCTCAAACGAATATAGAGGATTATTCACGGAAACGTAGGTTTTGTAAATGGAATATCCTATATTTATGTTTATGTTGTGTACAGTATGTGCATTATTTGTTTGAAAGAAAAAGGACGTTAAGGAGGTTGACATCTTAAAAAATGACAGATAAATATTTCGATTTACGTTTAAAATAATAAGACATTTATACAAGGTGTCTCAAAACAAAGTTTATATTCGATCCCCTCGCTGAGTAAACATAGTAAATCTTGTTAGGGGTACCTTAAAAGGTAACGAGATTGGTATCGACAATTATATCTTTCGACAGTAGGTCCAGAAGGTATGGTGGTTCATATCCTTGAAGAGGCGATAGGGGTAATTTTATCCTGGATAAGCAGTATAGCAGGGATAAGTATTAATCCACGATAAATGGTACAATAGTGGTATCTGTTCACCCACGTTAAACGGTACACTTCCATCATGAAGAAAGCGATCGCTCTCGTCAACTACTAACTAACTCGGATTTCGTCAAGCCAAAGAATTTTTTCCTTCTGGCTCCTATGGTTTAATTCTCTCCTCGCATTCCGGATTCCTGCGGCTCAAAATGCAAATTACAAACCCATCGCTTCAAGGAAACTAATCATGACGTCGAAAACGACGAAACCATATGATTTGAAACTAAGGATTTACCAGTTTGTGCGATAAAGGTAAAGTGAAACTTGTTTGTAATCATATTGACCCGAACAAGGAACGAAATTTTGGTACCAGCAGTTATGTCAAGGCTAATAAACATTAACGACATCAACCTTCCTATTATTTATTGCTAGGTCGAGTATAAACTTTCTTTTGAGACACTTGCTGAATGTATGGTTCTATGAACTTCAATGGTTGCACTTTTTTTATCTCTAAAAATTACGGAGGACAATAGGGTGAGAAAGTTAAGTAGATTACCCAAGAAAACTAGAGACAGGAGACAACTCAAGTGTAGGGGTCATTAAACAACGTCTGCCCAACGCTAATATGCTCACAAAAAGTTCTTGGTAAATGTCTAGATGATGGTGGTGGATGGATAACTTTTTATGGGGGTGAGACCGCCACGAACTTTTTATGGTACAGTGGTGGGGGAGACCTCCTCTTTCGATCCCATCCACCCCCACACGCGAAGGGGGTGGGGGCCATCATCTAGACATTTACCAAAAATTGTGTTTTGTAACTTTTTATTTCATCCCAACTTACCAATGGTAACTTTTAAAATATCGATTACGTATTTTTTATCTTTATGAATCAGTCCATTAACGAAATTTGCTTTAAACTGAATGAGCAGTAGGCATTTTTAAATTTTATTACACACATTAACTGCTGATGTAGGTACTGATTTTAGCGGAAAAATACAAGAACATTTCAAAGTCAAGGGCACAAAAACCGAACAATAAAGGTGCCCACAAAATTACCTGCGTAAAACTATAAAATTACATATCACCATTTACGATATGTGACCTAAGTGCATTTATTTGTTTATCAATAAGTAAAAAGAGAAAAACCACTAAATTATTACCATAAAAAATATTACCATATCTGTAAGAAAATTCATGTCCTAGCATTACTTATCATTAAAATGTTAATTTCCTTCTTAATAACCGACGAATGCCAGAAAATATTTATTATGAAACTAGGCGATTGTAATTGTAAATAATAATAAATCACGTAACTTCATTTGCATATATTTTTAGGTGATTTATTGGAAAATTATTGCTGGGACGATGACCTTATGAACTTCAGTCGTCTGTTGTTCAGCGTGACCATTTTATTGACGTATCCAATCGAATGTTTTGTTGTCCGAGATGTCATAGAATATTCGTTTTTGAGAAAAGACTCCGAAGCCCTAACTTCGGACAAAATCCATTACGGAATCACAATTACCATCATTGCCCTTACGTACCTTTTGTCAATTGCCACAGACTGCTTGGGAATCGTCTTGGAATTGAATGTGAGTAATCAGAACACATTATATACATAGTGATTCATCATAGAAAAGATAACAAACCAAAAAGAATAAACCGGTAAAGNACAAAAAGGGCGGTTTTAAAAAGAAACCTTACTTGGGTTCGTTTATTGATAAAGACGACTCTATAATACAAACCGACGAAAACAAATAAAATCCAGGATTTTACAATACGTATGTATACAGGGTGTTCCATCTAAGGCGTTTTCGTCTATAACTCTGTTATTATATATTTAATAAAAGCAAATGTTTTTATAAGAGTGGTCCGGTATTATATAGTGTATATACAGAAAATATTTTCAGTCATACAGGGTGTTCGATTTATTCTGGACGCTACTTAACTTCTTTATTTTAAATAAAACAGCCTGTATAGTTTTACATTTTTGGTTTCTTTGTTTAATTCTAGATCAACCTTGTTAACATTTTTCTGCACTACTAGAGATAGTTTTTGAGATATTCTACTGTTTTTGAAAAACATTATGATTTCAGCTGCTTGAATGAGACCAAATGGCATCTAAACCATAAAAATTAAAGACCTGCGGATTGGACATTTCGTTTTAGCATGCATTACTTATCCTTTTTGCTGTACGTTATTCAGAGCCGAAAATATCGAAACCCTAATATGTGCCATTCCATTTGGAAAAAAAGTTACATGTCTTATAAGATTGTCAAAAGTAGGCTTCGACATTTGCTTTCTCCTCTGAATAACGTACATATTTTTCCCTTAGCACAAAATATACGATAATTCATGCTAAAATCTGAGGGTTTTTGACTTTTACGGTTTAGATGCTATTTGGTATCATTCAAACAGTTGGAATCATAATGCTTTTCAAAAACAGTTGAATATCTGAAAGACTACTAGAGATAAGTACAGAAAACAAAGTAGATCTAGAATTAAACAAAGAAACCAAAAATTTAAAAATACACATGGTGTTATACTTAAAATAACGAAGTTAGGTAACGTCCAGAATAAATAGAACACCCTGTATGACTGAAAATACCTGTATATACAGCATACGATTCCAGGAAACTTTTATTTTATTAAATGTATAATAGAGTTATGGGCGAAACCGGCTTAGGTGGAACACCCTGTATAATACAAATGTTTTAATATTTTAAATATTTCTATGTACTTCAGCAGATGCTTCTTTAAATTCGCTGTTGTTTAGCTTAATAAGGCCCACATTTTCTTGCGATTTTATCGTTTTGTGACATTGTATTGATTACGATTTATTTTAAAACCAAATCTTCCTTTGCAAATTCGACAATAATTCCTTAACAGAGTCGTACCTAATTCTTACTGTTGTGTTACAAAACTGGGATAACAAAAATAATCAGCGATCGTTTAATCAATCCTCGACCGGTTACATGGACGTAGCTACGGGTGGGTCAAGGTTCGTGCATTAAAACAGGAGCGGTCAACTTCTGTACCCATGTAAAATCAATTATTCCTTTAAATACTTTGTCCCTATCTACTATTTAACACAGACAAATGGAACTGAAAACTGACTTTTATAAGAGTACCTACTCAATGTCGGAAACCTTCTCGGGCTTCATAAAAATGATACTGTTTACAAATTGGATGGGATTGGGGATCTCATGTAGTCAACTAAAGGTTAATTAACAAGTAACAACAAAAAAAACATGTTTATATTTCTTTTACTACTTTATCATTAATTAGAATCCTGTGTCTGTCTATTTCTCACCAATAAATCATAATTTGGTGTACCTCTATCTACATAATCATACTGAATCTTCAGTATGGGAAACAATAGGTGAGACTAATATATAGATCCAAAATAAGAATGAAATTCGCTGCGTTGGGTGACAGTATATAGTTACAATTTCATTATTAAACGTCTTCTTTTCTATATGAAAGATATCTGAAATTTTTGCACAGTTCTTTCACATTCAATTACTTTTTGAAAGAAAAACAGAATACTACATAATATCTTAGTTTTCAGTCATCTTTTTAATTTCTGCGACATATTTTTTCACATGCCTACTTAGGTTTTAATGACAATTTATATATTTTTGTATAATGACGGACTATATTTGGCAAAAAATTGTTCATTTTCCATTTTGTTTATTGAGCAAAATTGAAATCGCTTCTAATCCGTTGTAATCTACCTCCGAGAGGCATAGCCTAGAGGTTTAGAGGTGCGTCTGCCTTGGCCCAAATTTTTCTGTGGTTTCCTCGGATAACTTAGGCAAATGCTGGGGCAGTAATATTCCACAGATAGTCTTTCATTCTTTTCTGTCTTCATTTCGTCCGTCTCATCTTTCTCACCCGAACCACCATCCACCCATTCCCTCGATTCCTGAAAGGAGGCTGAAGAGGGTCTTCCGCCCTACTATCCGGTGTAGTCGTAGCATTAGTAGCTGGTGGGATGAAACACCCAAAAGTTTTTTTTTTGTGATCGACCAACAATTGCTTCGTGATCGACCAGTCGATCGCCCTCGACTTTTGTTGACCACACTTGTATTAAACGTAACTCATGTATTGACTTACCCCGAATATTAACTTGCCGAATAATTTGAAATTTTAAGCAAGCATTCAATTTCTCATAACCCAAAACGCGTTATTTAATGACTGCTAATTTACTTGCCCAAGAAAATTTCATTTCTTTAGAGAGAGGTAGTGAAATATAGCATGTGCCCCAAGGAAGGAAATACACGTGAGGTCTAGGGCATCCTTTACTTTTCCCAGTATATACCATTTTCACGGAACTCGTATGTACTTGTGGTTTGACACTGTCATTTTTGCGGAACTCCATCAGACACCTTGAGTTATATCTGCAACGATGTGACCCACCCTAGGCCCATGCAAAAAAATGCTGGCTACGTCTCCGACCGATTAGTGTAATAACATACCGTTTGACGTGTTGACAACACTTGGTGAATTCCGTAAGTACGCTTACGAAATTTAGGCTTAGGACAGGAATGAATATCTAGGTGAACATAAATTAGACACAGACAATATAATTAAAGATTTGTCTGTACTTCTGCCACGTTTTCATTAGGATTTCGAAAACCTCATGTAAGGTAATCTGATGAAAAATATTAAATGCAATTATTCCTATGCAAGGCAGTTGAGACTAGTACTTTTCAAAAAGTCAGTGTAATCCCTGTAGTAGTAGAAGCAGTAGTACTGGTCTTACTTGAAATTGTACTTAAAATGTTCTATCAGCTTGCCTGTTCATCATCATAAAGTCGTCAGTCCTAAGACTGGTTGGTCATGCACCTCCACTCCTTCCTATCCTGAGCTAATTTTCGCAATTATTAATTAATTAACTAATTAATCTTCATTGCCTGTTGAGGTTCGAAAAATCCGAACGAAAAGGCGTAGAAATGCAGACATATTTTATAATTTGTACCTAACAAGATTCTCGTTCCTACCCTGGTCAAGTAGTTAGTGAAGTTCTTTCCGATAGCATAGCTAGCGAATACAACGCGATTTCGGACGCAAGTCTGTACCCATCTTAACAAACTTTTATATTTTGTATTTATTTAAAATAATTAAATCAGTGATTTTTGAATATATTTAGCAATTGAAGAAAGTGTGGGTCTTACAATACCTTCTTGTGTATATTGAAACGTATTTAATAGATATATTTACAATTTTCTGCAATATTATTTATGTTGTTGCTTAATACTGTTTAATATGAAATTTTTACATTATTCATACGTCTAATAATATTAATGATACATGAAATATTACGTACATATATGGGAACAACATCAGTCGAAACACTAATTTAAGAAAAGTAGACTTATAATAACAAACTGCATATTCTAATGTAACTGTTGAAAAAAAAAAACTTAATGATAATAATATCTTCCAATGTTGCGCTTAAAATAATACAAATCGTTGTTACTAGAAGGAAATATGCTTAGAATTTAGGAGAATACTAATGGTGTTTAATTTTCGAAATCCGTGCAGGGTATTGTTGTATCATATATGCGAGATTTATTGGCATAATTGTTGATTTTTGCTGCAGCCTTTAATTTATCTGATGTTAAAAATTGTAATCAATCAATCAATGACTCTAC